GTTGTGTAATCGAAATCTATAAATCAGTTTTAACGGGTAAGTTTGAAAACGTTACACCCACTTGCTGCAAAGCGTTTAAAGATGTGGATGCAAAGTGTTGGCCAAAAATGTTTCCGTTGAATCCACTATTCCCTCCTCTTCTCAAGAACAGCTGCTCTCGCATCAGCACAGATGCACCATCATCACACACAACACCTCAACTCTCTATCGTGACTGGCTCACCCGTCGATCTCACAAAATGTTTGTCATCACTCGTTAGCATTCAAGGTTGTGTAGCTGAAATTCACAAATCAGTTTTCTCAGGAAAGTTTGGTAATATTGGAGCAACGTGTTGCAAGGCGTTTTCGGCAATTGATGCCAAATGTTGGCCACACATGTTTCCGCTAAATCCGTTCTTCCCTCCTCTTCTTAAAGATGGATGTTCTCGCATCGCAGTCCCTCCCACACAAAAGTGAAGTACTATATATATTGAACCATATACTTAAGAAACTTAAAATTAAGGGCATTATAGATTCTACTTCCAATATTTAAGAGATTCCATGTATTGTGGGTTGCTCTAGGTTTTTACTTTTTACCATCTACACGAATGATTTAATTTTTAAGTTTCTACAACTTTTATCTATTTTTAAACCACTTTAATTTTTTTTCATAATTTCAGTAACAATTGACTAATTTTTGGTTTTAACATTTAAGTAACAGAGCTTTGATCCTAATAAATATACAAACATAATATTAGAGATACTAGATGGCTAAAAGAATTCTAAACTAATCTTAATGTTTAGTTATTTAGTCCTCATAAACTCAATATAAATTTAGGGATATACAAATTTAATAATTTTAAAACAAATTCATTGACAGAGAAATTATAGGATTTCATGTTTGGTATAATAGTACATACATAAACGACACACACACAAATTGGCTCTACGTGCAATGGCAGTTCTTTTTTTTTTTATGCCATAGAAATTTACGCATGCACTACACAAATAGGGATAATGTCACTTACCTCTATAAAATGAGGTAACTTACAAGTAGCAAACACAACACAAAACAAGGTGGTACAACAAAACTTGGCCAACTTGTTCCGTAACGTACGACTTTTTAAGGTTTTGAAAGCAAGAAAACGTGTTTTTTTTTTATTATTTCAAACGAAATGAAAAGACAAAGGTTGGTACGAGTTACAGCTTACAAACTGATTTTTGGGAGTACTAGGCCTAATTGGTTAGCTTTGTTTTTTTTAACAAATGTTTGGCTTATACAGTAAATAAAATGTAATAACTAATCAAGTTTTACTTAAAATCTAGTAGTTTTTTTCAGGATTAGTTAATTTTTTTGAGAAAAGACTCATATTCCAGAGCATTACAGCTCTTGTGTTGTCGATGGGGGTTTTATGTCAAATTTTCCCGATTTTTCTCAACCAGATTGCATCTTATACTATTTTTTTTTTGTTTTGTAACAGTTGTACTATGGTAGTACCAAAAGTAAAACGGAATTAGAGATACGTTAAAGTAGACCAAACATGGATCCGTTTTAGACACGTCAATGGACAGACATTTGGTAGGACCGTTTTTCGAATGTGCAACTTAAAGCCTATGTTATCTTAAATATGTTGATGATATTAATTGAAAAAATAATCTAACATATTAAATATATTTATAGAAAAAATAGGGAAAAATTTAGCAACTAGTCTTAAATAGTAATAAAACAGGAAAATTGAGTTAATAATCAAAAATTATGTTGATACATATTATATATAGAAATTATGATTATTTTATCTTTATAATTATTTGATGCGGTTTTGGTAAATAACAATTTGAACATGCTAACTAATATCATATCGTGATAATTGTGTTAACTATATTAACTAATATGATGATCGATTAGCATATTGAAATAATAGCATATTAACACAATAGTTATCATGATAACTGTGTTAACTATGCTAACTAATATGATGCTCAATTATTACATTGTACAAATATCAAGTTAACATGATAATTACTGTGTTAACGTGCCTATTATTTCATTAAAAATATAAATTAATTTTGTTAATTGTATAAGTTATACAAAATTATCATGTTAACAATGTTATCATATCAACAAATTATCATATTAACGTTGTGAGCATGATAACTATCGTGTTAACGTTAATATCATCATCTCCCACCCTATTACTATTACCACCACCACCACCTATGACCACCTTCACCATTACTGATCACTACCACTACCACCACCATTATCGGTACTGCTATCACTTCCATCACCACCAGCCCGTCGTCATTTGCCACAACAATCATCATTGTCGCCGACATCACTACCACCACCACCACCACTACCATTATCACCACCATCTTTCACCACCACCACCGACATCACACCACCACATCCTCCATCTTTGCCATGACTGCCACCACCACCATCATCATCAGTAATATTTTTTATTATCAATTTTATCATAATTATTCATGATCACAACCACCGTTTCTCTTCTCTTCTTTCTCTTCCTCTTCCTTTTTCTTTTTTTTATTTCTTTTTCTAATAATAACAGGGGCAAAATAGTCTTTCTATTAGAAACAGTATAGAGTTAAAATTGTCAGTTTTTATCACTTAATTTTTCTATTATCTGAAGCAATTCGTTACAATTACTCATATGCTAAACAGAATCTACAAATGATTTGAAACGACCTTGACAATTGAATTGGGGCTCAAATGTTAAGTGAAGAAATTCACCTTTTTGTTGTAATTTGATAAAATTATAATCAGCTCCATTACATTTCCTAATCATTTAAATTCACTTTTGTTGTAATGTATCACAAAAGAAGGTATCACAAAAGAGCAAGAAACACGTGAAGGGCATAAGACAATCGGTGACAGCTTGATGTAGTAAAAGTAAAATAATATGAAAAGTGTTCTTTATAATATACTATCATAAAAAGCGACAAAAGTTGATCCCTTTTGCATTTTATTTTACCAAACATCACAATCACATAAATATATGTGTACTATAATCATAAGAAATTGGTTTCAACCAATATAATAAGGAACTAAGGATCATGGGATATCTATCATATAAATCTTCAAATATGGTACCTTTCAAACTCTAAATACATATAATTCATTATCTTTTTTTTATAAACATAACTATCGAACAAGGACCTTTAATCAGTTCTTATACAAGTTGTTGGATCACACCTATCCACAACCCATAGGTCATTGTATTTAAAAAGTTTTAACACTGGAGACATTTGCCCTTATTTCTTGAGTTGCTTTGCCCCTTCACGGAATATAGATTGAGTCGAGAAACAAACTTGGTGTCGCTTATTTTCAAAAAAAACAAACTTGGTGTCGCTGATTCTCTGTGACATATATATATATGAGTTTTGTCTTCTAACTGATGTATGTGTAATTGTCTCGCATATTATACAACAATTCACGCTATCTAAATTGAACAAATTTAAGTGGGAAAAAACAACATGAAAAGTAATTTGAGGGTGTAAACTTTTGTTTCACTTGATGCATGTGTTCACGATGCCTAAGCAATCATTTCATGTCTGTTTGCATATAGATTTTTAGGAGTACGAACTCCATTGTGAATCATGTGATGATTTTTAAAAAAATATATATACATTAAGTACTTAGTTCTCTTTTGTATCTATCTGTTACTCTAGTTTAAAATTTTCCTTTCTTTAAAGAACAATATTCGTTGCTCTCTAGATATCATATGTACATGATAGTTGCATAGTTGCATATACTAAATAAATATCCGTCTACGTTAAAATACTCATCTACGTTACGAACCAGCCACCAAAACAGACAACGTTTAGTCGTCGTTAATATTAATAGTGGGGATATTGCATGGTGTTTGACTCATTCTGCTCATTTTAGTTCGTGGTTTGTTGTTACCTTCGTCGTCGAAGTAAAAGATTTTGTCCCGGTTTTGAGAGCTGTGGATGAGTGTTTTGTGGACCGTATTTAGTGTCAAATCCAACCCGGAAATCTCATTTTTATAATTTCTGATTTCATTTTCATAAGTATTTTCTGTTACTAGATTAAATAATTTAAACTTTTTTTTTGTTTTTGTCTTAAACCTCAACATGAGGAGATGGATCGGATCCTCCGGATGCATGATTTGCTCGGCTAAGTAGTGTACAACCGCAAGCTCGGCCAATCATAAATCTAAAATTCACAATCTAGTATTCTAATTAAAATGTCACAGAATTTAAATTTCTCAGCTTTTTGTTCCTATAGTAACCAATATAAAAATGTAAGTAATGTTAAAAATTTATTTTGTTTTGCTAAAAAAACATACTCTTTCCAATGAAGTATAATTAACGTTTAGATTTGTTTTGTTGAAATAAAGAAAAACGAATAAAAATTAGTAACAACAGATATTCCTCTTTCATAATGTACAAGAAATCAAGAATGAATGGAAGTATAATAATTCTTTTTTTACAGCAGTGTATATAATAATATTCTGCTATAGCTAATATTCATCATTTCTATTTCATAAACCTTTATGTCCTTATTCATAAACGTGCATACCATCTAAGTATGACTTATGAGAGAAGAAAGTGACACTTTGTTTTTCTTTTTATTGAAAAAGACATAAAAATCTACTAAATGAGTAATGGTGCTGAATAAGAGATTAGTGTTTTTGCAATAATCTTGGATTTGATATCCAGTATATGCAAATTTATTTTTATAGGCTAATTGTATATAGAGGAAACTTTTTTGAAGATTCAACCATTACTAAAATGTAAAGAAATTTCTAGGCCACAGCGAAATAGTAAGGAAACAAACACACAAAACACTACAATGTTCTTAGTCAGCATAAAATATATATAATTAAAATTACAAACAATATATTAAAAAATAATCCACCTGTATGAACACAACACAACAAACAAACAAAAAGGTAAAAAATCTACCTGTACACAATAACCATACACCAAGTAGCCTTAACAGAGTTTATGTATGTACTTATACACCGTACCCATCTCTTCTTCTTCTTTATAAATACGCTCTCTCCTCTCTTTCTCCCTCACATGTTCCTCGCGAAACCAAATTCTCAATCTTTCTTGAAATCCTTCTCCTTGTATGGCACTAACCCTTTTGTCCCACAAGGTATCCGACCTCTGTATCGGCAAACCGCCGCTACGGTATATTTCCTCCGCCGTAGCCACCGTCGCTGATGCCATCGCTGCTCTCAAATCCTCCGACGAACCTTTCCTGAGCGTCTGGAGCTGTAATCACGATGTAACCGATGACGACAAGTGCGACTGCGAGTGTCTGGGTAAGATCTGTATGGCCGATGTAATCTGTTACCTGTCTAAATTCGACAACAACGTTTTGTCTCTTTCCTCTGCATTCGACGCATCCGTCTCTGTTCTTCTCCCCAAATCTCGTTCCATCGTCGTCCATGTTCAATCCTCCTGCAAGTATGTCGCAAAATCCAGACATTGGGTTTCTTAATTTCTGTTTTTTTGTTTTGTTTTTCCGTTCATTGAGATTAAAAAAATTGGATCTTTTCAGGTTAATTGAAGCCATTGATCTGATAATCGGAGGAGCGCAGAATCTGATTGTTCCGATTCAGGCGAAATCAATCGCAAAGAGAAGACAACAAAAGCTTCTGATACGAAGCGCTGTCGTTTCGCTCACCACCACAACAACCCACAAGAACAGCCGCCAATTCTGCTGGATCACACAAGAAGACATAATCCGATTCCTTCTCGATTCCATTAGCGTCTTCTCTCCTTTACCGTCGATCTCAATATCCGATCTCGGCGTGGTCAACAGCACGCACACTATCCTCACCGTCGATTATCACTCCTCCGCCGCCTCCGCCGTCGCAGCCATCTCTCGCGCCATCGTCGACAATATCTCCGTCGCGGTGGTCGACGGTGAATGCGATCTAGAAGATCCACGTGTGTCTTTGATCGGAGAGATTTCGCCGATGACACTCGCTTGCTGCGACGAAACAGCCGCAGCAGCTGTTGCAACACTCTCCGCCGGCGATCTAATGTCGTATATCGACGGTAGCGGTCCGCCGGAGAGTCTCGTGAGAGTCGTTAGGAATCGCCTGGAAGAGAAAGGGATGGTGGGACTGATCTCACTCGTAGAATCCTTGTCGTCGGGGTCTTCGTCGTCGGACGAAGAATCTCCGGCGGGGAGATTAACGAGGACGGCGTCGTATGGAAGGTCGGTGAGTAGCGCGGCGAGGATGGCGAGGAAGTCGGTGGCGATAGTGTGTAATCGGAAAAGCTCTTTAATGGCGGTGATGATACAAGCGATAGCTCACAGGGTGAGTTATGTGTGGGTGGTTGATGAAGATGGTTGTTTGGTTGGTATGGTTACTTTTGTTGATGTTTTCAAGCTTTTTAAGGGATTTTTGGATGATCAAAATCAAAACTAATCATCATCAGTTTTACTCTTTTTGTTAGAATTTTTACTACTTATTAAACACAGCTAAAAACAAATGTTGCAAGACAAAAAAGTTCTTGAGGAATATTTCGGTTCATGTTTCTTTAAATCATTTTCGGATCTCATGACAATCTCAGTTCATTTCTTTTAATAAGAAAAGTTGGATTTTGGGGTCCATAATCTTCTTTGTTAATAAGAAAATGTTGACTTTGGGACCATAAACTATTTGCTCTTATACGGAAACAAAGATTCATTTTCTCTTCCAAAAAACAATCATCGCTAAGTGAGCTACGGTTTCGTCTTTTCATGGATTGCATATAACATAACACTTTAAGATTTAAACGTTTAGAAATGTATAATTTTAGGTCGGAACTTGAATAAGTAAAAATGTTTATAGACCACGTGCATCGATCAGCTGCAATTTGGGACTCACGTCTAATTTTAAGAAGGCAAAAAAAATTATGAGTCTTCTCACGTATAATCGAATTACTCAAAATCTTACGTTGCGATATTCAGGTCTAAAAGCTTTGTAAGATTGTCATTATTGAATCTAAATGAACAATAGAAACAAAAACAGAAGCAGACAAAGCCACCAAGAATATGTGAATCGTGATGTTGATTGAAGAAAATGAAAGATTGATTCTCTTTAGTTAAATAAATATACACACTTGACTTTACTTTTGTTTTGTTATCAACACACACTTAAGTAGTAAGTAGTACAAATTTGAAAATTTGGCTATAATATGTCCTGAGATTTGGTTTCAGATTTGTACAGCTTGCTGGTAACGCTGTTGGTCAAATGCCAAGTGATATTAGAATTTTCCATTGCGTTTAGTACATGTTTTAATATGTGCTCTCGTGCGTCTTTGTCTCCTTTTGATTGTGAAGTTGACTCCTTCAAAAAACAAAGGGTGAAAGTTGGTTGAATAATTAAAAGATGTTTGTTTGAAGATTATCATATCTCATGAGTCTGACATCGATATAATATGGTGTTATATATTACTATCCTACGGTTCAGTCCAGAGTTCAGACTAATATTCTAACTTTGGTAAACATTTGGTATATTCGATAATAATCCGTTGCGTATCCAAGGCTTCAATGACAAATTATTTTCCAACTATACTTCTGTGTTTTTCAACTGAAAATTTTAATTTTACCTATTTTACATTTTATAAGATTTGTTGAATTGTCAAGTTTAATGGGTTCTCTCAATTCTCCCTAATAACCAAACAAATAATTTAAGATGAGTATGTTTTATGGGGTTTTCACTAAAAACTAATTAGTCATTAGTGAAAATCCACGCACCATTATTTTACCATTTCGAATTCATCTCAATGTGACGACATATGTAAGATTTAGATATCACTTTTAAAGAGAATATATTTGTGGAGGGAAAGATATAGTTTTATTAAATAGCCGGAGTTCGAAAAGTACAGAGATTTAGGTCGTTTGAAGAAAATGTCGATCTAAAGTTGAGAGAAAGAACTGAGATCTAAAGTCGAAAGCGGAAAACTATTGTTTGCCCTATGTCTCAAGTTCGAAGTTGTGAATGAATAATCTTCGAAGGAGGGGGCTCGGGTAGCTTGATTGTGCCGATAATAAAGGTGGAATCGCTAGCGAAGCCCGTAAGTGCCTTTGGGGTGACTTTGATCTGAATGTCTTTGATCCCCATCTGAATCAGGGTAGTCTACCGGTGTCGATCAGGATCTTCGAGACGTCGTCATCCCGATGCGTAGGGAGATAACGAAAGGGTCGTTATGTGGTCGGTCGAGGCTTTCAGCGTCGGCCTCCGTAAACGTAATGGGCAGGAAATCGTCATAGCACGGCGTCCCCTTTTTAGTGTACGTGGCGCAGCGTTCATGTTTTTTGATGGAGTTGATGGAGTCATTGCGGGTAAGGAGGCCGCCAATGATCATGTTGATCCTGCGTCGGGGTGATGGGAGGGGTAGTAGTGGTGGAGGCGAGTCTTCCCGTGCGCGCTTGGGATTCTCGTCATGACGGGTCTGTTCTTGTGGCGTGGGGCGCGTCAGTCATCGTCTCGTGGGCAAGGTTGATCAGTACGAGGTCGGCGTGCTGGGTATATGTCGCGTGGTCGTTCTTCCAGTTTGATTTTGCCGTCCCACCAGTGTTGGTAGAGGAGTTCTCTGAGGTGACGACAGTCGAGATCATCGTGACTGGAGCATTTATGCCAGGTGCAATATGGTTGCGACCCGGAGGTGCTGCTCGTGGTGCGGTCCCACTTGTTCCATTGGGGGGGGGGGTCAGGTGATGGCGGAGACGTTGGTTCTGCGAGCCTTGTCGTCGCGATCATAGTGCTGGTGAGGTTCCTGGTACTCATCTTATTTAGGTTGGGAGCTTGTTGATTTCTTATTTGCTGCGATTTTTTCGTCCTCTCTGGCTTGTGTGTCCTCCAGGTTCATGAATTTGGTGGTTTTGTGGAGAAGTTCATCGAAGGATTGAGTTTTGCCAGTTGCGATCTTGTCATAGAACTTATGATTCTTGCGAAGGTTGAGTTTGAGCGCTATTATGGAGTTTCATCTGTTGGGTCACATCGGGAGACGACAGTGCGGAAGCGGCTGATGTAATCACGAAGGATTTTCTTTTCGTCCTAGGTGCAGGTCTAGAGTTCGGAGGTGTTTGCCCCTCGCTCGATGTATATAAAGTAGTGTCGGAGGAATTCCAGGGAGAGCTGAGAGAATGTCTCGATAGAGTTTGGTTTGAGTTTGGAGAATCACTAGAGTGCGTTCCCAGCAAGGATTCCACGAAGTACTGGCAGAGGGAAGCGTCGTGTTCCTTGGGTGAGAACCGGGCGCGGTTCATAGCGTTGTTGAAGGTTATGAGATGTTTCTGCGGGTCTGTGTTGCCGACGAATGATGCTAGTAGTTTGAGCTTCACGGTGTCGCGTAGAGGCACGCGGGTGATGCATTTAGCGAACGGTGTTTGCTGAGTGAGCTTCAGGACTTGTTCGAGCTCGGGGGCCGAGCTAGTCGCGTGATAAACTTGGGACTTGATTTCGTTGATCCTCTGGTGTAGACGGGTTAGTTTGGTGAGCTCGGGGATCTGTTCAGAGGTGGAGTTCGGGGCGGACAGGCGGGACTTGTGCTTAGATCGGGTACTAAAATCTTTAGCGTGTTAGTCCTCGCTGCCCCATGCTAAAGTAGGTGTGTCGCTGAAGATGAGGCGTTTAGCTCCCGACGCGGTGGTTTCCGAGGGCATGTGGATAGCTTTGGGAGTGCTGGTCTCAGTGTCGAAACTGGTTAACGGATGGTATTCAGATAAAAATACTATTTCCTTTTTATCTTAAACCTTGGCATAAATCTAAATTTCAATCATTTCAGAAGGCTAAACTAAAAAAAACAAAAGACAAATCTGCGTCCCGTGGTGGAGTGTCGGGTCGGAATTCGCATAGGATTTCAAAGTACGTGACCTACTGAGTTTTGATAACCCCGATCTGCTCATTGAGCTTTTTGTCCATCTGTACCATAAAGAACTACAGAATGGCGGTGATCTCTGTTGTGCGGGTGGGGATGGAATGGGCGGCAGTATGCCCGTCGTATTGAGAGGCCCCGGGCTGCCGGGAGACCGGTTTCATCACAAAACATTAGTTTATCCCAAAAATTTAAAATCAAAACCATGCATGCAATTGTAATACAAATTCTGAAATGTCATATATGATGAACGTAGAATATCACGAAACATTGTATACAATTTTATATGTATATTTAGGGTCGGCATCTTTTCTAGTTAATCACCTGTTTTGGATCTATATAGGACATGTGCTTGATTTTCTAAATACTCGACCAACAATTTATATCAAAAATTTGTATGAACCAATAAGGACAAGTTGTTGTATTTTAGACCCATAATAATTTATCATTTCGCGCACCAAATAACTATAACCTTTTAATGCGTCGTAAACGGGCCCCAAATGAGAACCATTGTATTTAATCACAACCTCTTCTCTTAGTAACGATGATCTGGTCCAATTGTTGATTCAAACAAGACAAATTCTATGAAGTTCCGGAAAAGAAAAAAAATGTTTGAACCGGTTTTTGTTTGCTCGTATATAAAATAAAATAGAACGAGCAAGTGTAAATCTACCAAAAGATTTTACCAAAAAAAAAAAACTCACACTAGATACTTAAAGAACACAATAAACTCGACTTGAACTAAAGTAAATAAAATTGAAATCCAATTAGATAGAATCTCACAGAAACCACTTACCTGGAGAATGAGATCGTCATCGTCGATTTTAATCTTAATTGTAGGAGAACCATAGTTGAAGGAGAGAGCGCTGGTCATCCTAGTATTATTTTACTATTTTAAAAATTGAGATACTCTCTTAAGAAATCCTCATTGTGGTCTTATATTTGTACTTGTAAGCTTTCTTTCTGATCATGGAGTAGTGATTGTACCACAAACTGTTCCAGCAAGCTTGTTTTCTTTTGATAGTGTTTTCCAAAGAAACTCTCCACACATCCAGTGATTAATTATCATGTATCGATCTCTTTGGCAATATAAATGATCCACACTAAAATTTTGTATATCTAAAAAAGCTTTGTTTACCAAAAAAAAAAAAAAATCTATCCTTCCTAAAAAAAGAGAAGTATTTTGTTCTCGAAGATCCATTTCTGCTCTTGGTTCTTTGTATCAGTGAATCATAAACAGCGATAGTTTTTTTTGGGTGGATAGAAGCAGATTTAGATAGCTAATAGGCAGCTGACATCGAAAGAGGCCAAAATCTTCCTCAATCTTTATTCCTCTCCCATAACACCTGAGTGAATCAAGAAGGACAATTTCTAAACGGTTAGAGCTATTTATAGGCCTGATAAATTTTGGAAGTTGTAGAGCACTTACATAAAGCCTTGGACAAAGCTATAGACCCATCAAAAGAAGATTGAGAGATTATATATAATGCAAAGCATAAGTGGACAAGTTTTGGGTCTTAATATGCATTTAAAGTGTGATTTAATCAAAACTAATCCATATCCTAAAATATACACACTCCATTCTGATTTTTCAGTTATTTTGTTGGCATGCACGCACACGTATGGCTTTAAATTTGTACTTGTAAGTTAGAAGTAAAACTAATGTGGAGCCCTCCTCGAAATCTCTTGCGGATTTTCGCGCTCTGGTTCTGTTTTCATGGGAAGTCGCACGTTGTCACAATACGTTCATGC